CGTCCCCGACGTCCTGGGAGAACATCATCTCGTCCCAGACGTCCGGGGAGAACATCATTTCGTCCCTGACGTCCTGGGAGGACATCATCACGTCCCTGACCTCCGGGGAGGACATTGTCTCATTCCCGACGTCCGGGTTGAACATCATCACGTCCCCAATGTCTGAGAAGATCCGAGGAGAACATCATCTCGTTCCTGACGTCCTGGGAGGACATCATCACGTCCTTGACGTCCGGGGAGAACATCATTACGTCCTCGACGTCCAGGGAGAACATCATCACGTCCTCGACGTCCTGGGAGAACATCATCTCGTTTCCGACGTCCTGGGAGAACATCATCACGTCCTCGACGTCCGGGAAGAACATCATCTCGTTCCCGATGTCCGGGTTGAACATCATCACGTCCTCGACGTCCGGGGAGAACATCATCTCGTTCCCGACGTTCGGGGAGAACATCATCTCGTTCCCGACGTTCCCGACATTATCTTGTTTCCGACGTCCGGGTTGAACATCATCACGTCCTCGACGTCCGGGGAGAACATCACCATGTCCTCGACGTCCTAGGAGAACATCATCACGTCCTCAACGTCCGAGGAGAATATCATCTCGTTCCCGACGTCCTGGGAAGATATTATCTCGTTCCCGACGTCCGGGGAGGACATCATCACGTCCTCGACGTCCTGGGAGAACATCATCTTGTTCCTGACGTGCTCGGAGAACATCATCTCGTTCCAGACGTCCGGGAATGACATCATGTCGTTCCCGACTTCCTGGTTGAACATCACGTTTCTGACGTAAGGGGAGAACGTCCGAGGAGAACATCATCTCGTTTCCGACGTCCTGGGAAGATATTATCTCGTTCCCGACGTCCGGGGAGGGCATCATCACGTCCTCGACGTCCGGGGAGAACATCATCTTGTTCCTGACGTGCTGGGAGAACATCATCTCGTTACTTATGTCCTGGGAGAACATCATTACGTCCTCGACGTCCGTGGAGAACATCATCTCGTTCCCGACGTCCGGGTTGAACATCATCACGTCCTCGGCGTCCGGGGAGAACATCAACTCGTTTCCGACGTCCTGGGAGGACATCATCTCGTCCTCGACGTCTGGGGAGAACATCATCACGTCCTCGACCTCCGTGGAGAACATCATCTCGTTCCCGACGTCCGGGTTGAACATCATCACGTCCTCGACGTCCGGGGAGAACATCAACTCGTTTCCGACGTCCTGGGAGGACATCATCTCGTTCCCGACGTCTTGGGAGAACATCATCTCATTCCCGACGTCCTGGGAGAACATCATCATGTTCCCGACGTTCGGGGAGAACATCATCTCGTTCCCGACGTCCGGGGAGGACATCATCTTTTGCCCGATGTCCGAGTTGAATATCATCACGTCCTCGACGTCCGGGAAGAACATCATCTCGTTCCCGACGTCCTGGGAGGACATTATCTCGTTCCCGACGCCCGGGGAGGACATCATCACGTCCTCGATTTCCAGGGAGGACATCATCTCGTTTTCGACGTCCTGGGAGGACTTAATCTCGTTCCTGAAGTCCGGGGAAAACATCATCTTGTTCCTGATGTCCTGGGAACACATCATCTCGTTCCCGACGTCCGGGTTGAACATCATCACGTCCTTGACGTCCTGGGAGAACATCATCTCATCCTTGACGTCCTGGGAGAACATCATTTCGTCCCTGACGTCCTGGGAGGACATCATCACGTCCCTGACCTCCGGGGAGGACATTGTCTCATTCCCGACGTCCGGGTTGAACATCATCACGTCCCCAATGTCTGAGAAGACCCGAGGAGAACATCATCTCGTTCCCGACGTCCTGGGAGGACATCATCACGTCCTCGACGTCCGTGGAGAACATCATCTTGTTCCCGACGTTCGGGGAGAACATCATCTCGTTCCCGACGTCCGGGGAGGACATCATCTCCTGCCCGATGCCCGAGTTGAACATCATCACGTCCTCGACATCTAGATCCCGACGTCCGGGGAGGACATCATCAAGTCTTCGACGTCCGGGGAGGACATCATCTCGTTCCTGACGTCCGGGGAGAACATCATCTTGTTCCCGATGTTCTGGGAGAACATCATCTCGTTTCCAACGTCCGGGGAGGACATCATCACGTCCTCGACGTCCGGGGAAAACATCATCACGTCCCCGACGTCCTGGTAGAACATCATCTCGTTCCCGATGTCCTGGGAGGACATCATCTCGTTCCCGATGTCCGGGAAGAACATGATCACGTCCCCGACGTCCTGGGAGAACATCATCTCGTTCCCAACGTCCTGGGAGGACATTATCTCGTTCCCGACGTCCGGGGAGGACATCATCACGTCCTCGATGTCCAGGGAGGACATCATCTCGTTTTCGACGTCCTGGGAGGACATTATCTCGTTCCTGAAGTCCGGGGAAAACATCATCTTGTTCCCGATGTTCTGGGGAGACATCATCTCGTTCCCGACGTCCGGGTTGAACATCATCACGTCCTCGACGTCCTGGGAGAACATCATCTCGTTTCCGACATCCTGGGAGAACATCATCACGTCCTTGACGTCCGGGGAGAACATCATCTCGTCCCCGACGTCCAGGTTGAACATCATCTCGTTTTCGACGTCTGGGGACAACATCAGCACGTCCCCAACGTTCAGGGAGGACATCATGACGTCCCCGACGTCCTGGGAGAACATCATGACGTCCCCGACGTCCTGGGAGAACATCATCTCATCCCAGACGTCCGGGGAGAACATCATTTCGTCCCTGACGTCCTGGGAGGACATCATCACGTCCCTGACCTCCGGGGAGGACATTGTCTCATTCCCGACGTCCGGGTTGAACATCATCACGTCCCCAATGTCTGAGAAGATCCGAGGAGAACATCATCTCGTTCCTGACGTCCTGGGAGGACATCATCACGTCCTTGACGTCCGGGGAGAACATCATTACGTCCTCGACGTCCAGGGAGAACATCATCACGTCCTCGACGTCCTGGGAGAACATCATCTCGTTTCCGACGTCCTGGGAGAACATCATCACGTCCTCGACGTCCGGGAAGAATATCATCTCGTTCCCGATGTCCGGGTTGAACATCATCACGTCCTCGACGTCCGGGGAGAACATCATCTCGTTCCCGACGTTCGGGGAGAACATCATCTCGTTCCCGACGTTCCCGACATTATCTTGTTTCCGACGTCCGGGTTGAACATCATCACGTCCTCGACGTCCGGGGAGAACATCACCATGTCCTCGACGTCCTAGGAGAACATCATCACGTCTTCGACGTCTGGGGAGAACATCATCACGTCCTCAACGTCCGAGGAGAATATCATCTCGTTCCCGACGTCCTGGGAAGATATTATCTCGTTCCCGACGTCCGGGGAGGACATCATCACGTCCTCGACGTCCTGGGAGAACATCATCTTGTTCCTGACGTGCTCGGAGAACATCATCTCGTTCCAGACGTCCGGGAATGACATCATGTCGTTCCCGACTTCCTGGTTGAACATCACGTTTCTGACGTAAGGGGAGAACGTCCGAGGAGAACATCATCTCGTTTCCGACGTCCTGGGAAGATATTATCTCGTTCCCGACGTCCGGGGAGGACATCATCACGTCCTCGACGTCCGGGGAGAACATCATCTTGTTCCTGACGTGCTGGGAGAACATCATCTCGTTACTTATGTCCTGGGAGAACATCATTACGTCCTCGACGTCCGTGGAGAACATCATCTCGTTCCCGACGTCCGGGTTGAACATCATCACGTCCTCGGCGTCCGGGGAGAACATCAACTCGTTTCCGACGTCCTGGGAGGACATCATCTCGTCCTCGACGTCCGGGGAGAACATCATCACGTCCTCGACCTCCGTGGAGAACATCATCTCGTTCCCGACGTCCGGGTTGAACATCATCACGTCCTCGACGTCCGGGGAGAACATCAACTCGTTTCCGACGTCCTGGGAGGACATCATCTCGTTCCCGACGTCTTGGGAGAACATCATCTCATTCCCGACGTCCTGGGAGAACATCATCATGTTCCCGACGTTCGGGGAGAACATCATCTCGTTCCCGACGTCCGGGGAGGACATCATCTTTTGCCCGATGTCCGAGTTGAATATCATCACGTCCTCGACGTCCGGGAAGAACATCATCTCGTTCCCGACGTCCGGGGAGGACATCATCTTGTGCCCGATGTCCGAGTTGAACATCATCACGTCCTCGACGTCCTGGGAGAACATCATCTCATTCCCGACGTCCGGGGAGAACATCATCACGTCCTCGACGTCCTGGGAGAACATCATCTCGTCCCCGACGTCCGGGGAGAACATCATCTCGTTCCCGACGTCCGGGGAGGACATCATCACGTCCTCGACGTCCGGGGAGGACATCATCTCGTTTCCGACGTCCTGGGAGGACATTATCTCGTTCACGACGTCCGGGGTGAACATCATCTTATTCCTGACGTCCTGGAAGATCATCATCTCGTTCCCGACGTCCTTGGAGACCATTATCTCGTTCCCGACGTCCGGGGAGAACATCATCACGTCCTCTACGTCCGGGGAGGACACCATCTCCTTTTCGACGTCCTGGGAGGACATTATCTCGTTCCTGACGTCCAGGAAGGACATCATCTCGTTCCCGACGTCCGGGGAGAACATCATCACGTTCTCGACGTCCGGGAAGAACATCAACTCGTTTCCGACGTCCGGGGAGAACATCATCTCGTTCCCGACGTCCTGGGAGAACATCATCACGTCCTCGACGTCCTGGGAGAACATCATCTCGTTGCCGACGTCCTGGGAGAACATCATCACGTCCTCGACGTCTGTGGAGAACATTATCTTGTTCCCGACGTCCGGGTTGAACATCATCACGTCCTCGACGTCCGGGAAGAACATAAACTCGTTTCCGACGTCCTGGGAGAACATCATCTCGTTCCCGGCGTCCGTGGTGAACATCATCACGTCCTCGACGTCCGGGGAGAACATCAACTCGTTTCCTGACGTCCTGGGAGGACATCATCTCGTTCCCGACGTCTTGGGAGCACATCATCTGATGTCCATGACGTCTGGGGAGAATATCATCTCGTTACCGACGTCCTGGGAGGACATCATCTCGTTCCCGACGTCTGGGGAGAACATCATCTTGTTCCCGACGTCCTGGGAGAACATTATCTCGTTCCCGACGTCCGGGAAGGACATTATCTCGTTCCCGACGTCCGGGTTGAATATCATCACGTCCTCGACGTCCGGGGAGAGCATCATCACGTCCTCGACGTCCTGGGAGAACATCATCACGCCCTCGACGTCCGGGAGAACATCACATCCTCGAAGGCCGGGGAGAACATCATCTCGTTCCTGACGTCCTGGGAAGACATTATCTCGTTCCCGACGTCCGGGGAGGACATCATCTCGTCCACGACGTCCGGGGAGAACATCATCTCGTTTCCGACGTCCTGGGAAGACATTATTTCGTTCCTGACGTCCGGGGAGAATATCATCTTGTTCTTAACGTCCTGGGAGAAAATCATCTCGTTCCCGACGTCCGGGTTGAACATCATCACGTCCTCGACGTCCTGGGAGAGCATCATCTCTTTTCTTACATCCGAGGGGACATCATCTCGTCCTCGACGTCCGGGGAGGACATCATCATGTCCTCGACGTCTGAGAAGAACATCAACTCCTTTCCGACGTCCTGGGAGAACATCATCACGACCTCGACGTCTGTGGAGAACATCATCACGTCCTCGACGTCCGGGGAGTACATCATCTCGTTCCCGACGTCCTGGGAAGACATTATCTCGTTCCCGACGTCCGGGGAGGACATCATCACGTCCTCGACGTCCGGGGAGGACATCATCTCGTTTCCGACGTCCTGGGAAGACATTATCTCGTTCCTGACGTCCGGGGAGAACATCATCTTGTTCTTGACGTCCTGGGAGAACATCATCTCGTTCCCGACGTCCGGGTTGAACATCATCACGTCCTCGACATCCTGGGAGAACATCATCTCTTTTCCGACGTCTGAGGAGGACATCATCTCGTCCTCGACGTCCGGGGAGAACATCATCACGTCCTCGACGTCCGAGAAGAACATCAACTCGTTTCCGACGTCCTGGGAGAACATCATCACGTCCTCGACGTCCTGGGAGAACATCATCACGTCCTCGACGTCCGGGGAGAACATCATCTCGTTCCCGACGTCCTGGGAAGACATTATCTCGTTCCCGACGTCCGGGGAGGACATCATCACGTCCTCGACGTCCGGGGAGGACATCATCTTGTTTCCGACGTCCTGGGAAGACATTATCTCGTTCCTGACGTCTGGGGAGAACATCATCTTGTTCTTGACGTCCTATGAGAACATCATTTCGTTCCCGACGTCCGGGAAGGACATCATCTCGTTCCCGACGTCCGGGTTGAACATCATCACGTCCTCGAAGTCCTGGGAGAACATCATCTCTTTTCCGACGTCCGAGGAGGACATCATCTCGTCCTCGACGTCCGGGGAAAACATCATCACGTCCTCGACGTCCGAGAAGAACATCATCACGTTCCCGACGTCCGGGTTGAACATCATCACGTCCTCGACGTCCTGGGAGAACATCATCTCGTTCCCGACGTCCGAGGAAAACATCATCACGTCCTCGACGTCCGGGAAGAACATCATCTCGTTCCCGACGTCCGGGTTGAACATCATCACGTCCTCGACGTCCTGGGAGAACATCATCTCGTTCCCGACGTCCGGGGAGAACATCATCACGTCCTCGACGTCCGGGGAGAACATCATCTCGTTTCCGACGTCCTGGGAGGACATCATCTCGTTCCCGACGTCCTGGGAGAACATCATCTTGTTCCCGACGTTCGGGGAGAACATCATCTCGTTCCCGACGTCCGGGGAGGACATCATCTCTTGCCCGATGTCCGAGTTGAACATCATCACGTCCTCGACGTCCTGGGAGAACATCATCTCGTTCCCGACGTCCGGGGAGAACATCATCACGTCCTCGACGTCCGGGGAGAAAATCATCTCGTCCCCGACGTCCTGGGAGGACATTATCTCGTTCACGACGTCCGGGTTGAACATCATCTTGTTCCTGACGTCCTGGAAGATCATCATCTCGTTCCCGACGTCCTTGGAGATCATTATCTCGTTCCCGACGTCCGGGGAGAACATCATCACGTCCTCGACGTCCGGGGAGGACACTATCTCCTTTTCGACGTCCTGGGAGGACATTATCTCGTTCCTGACGTCCGGGAAGGGCATCATCTCGTTCCCGATGTCCGGGGAGAACATCATCACGTTCTCGACGTCCGGGGAGAACATCAACTCGTTTCCGACGTCCGGGGAGAACATCATCTCGTCCCCGACGTCCTGGGAGAACATCATCTCGTTCCCGACGTCCGGGGAGGACATCATCACGTCCTCGACGTCCTGGGAGAACATCATCTCGTTCCCGACGTCCTGGGAGAACATCATCACGTCCTCGACGTCTGTGGAGAACATCATCTCGTTCCCGACGTCCGGGTTGAACATCATCACGTCCTCAACGTCCGGGAAGAACATCAACTCGTTTCCGACGTCCTGGGAGGACATCATCTCGTTCCCGACGTCCGGGAAGGACATCATCTCGTTTCCGACGTCCTGGGAGAACATCATCTCGTTCCCGACGTCCTGGGAGAACATCATCTCGTTCCCGACGTCCTGGGAGAACATCATCACGTTCCCGACGTCCGGGGAGAACATCATCACGTCCTCGACGTCCGTGGAGAACATCATCTCGTTCCCGACGTCCGGGTTGAACATCATCACGTCCTCGACGTCTGGGGAGAACATCAACTCCTGGGAGGACATCATCTCGTTCCCGACGTCTTGGGAGAACATCATCTGGTTCCCGACGTTCGGGGAGAACATCATCTCGTTCTCGACGTCCGGGGAGGACATCATCTTCTGCCCGATGTCCGAGTTGAACATCATCACGTCCTCGACGTCCGGGGAGAACATCATCTCGTTCCTGACGTCCGAGGAGAATATCATCTCGTTCCCGACGTCCGAGGAGAACATCATCACGTCCTCGACGTCCGGGGAGAACATCATCTCGTTCCTGACGTCCTGGGAGGACATCATCTCGTTCCCGACGTCCGGGAAGGACATTATCTCGTTCCCGACGTCCGGGTTGAACATCATCACGTCCTCGACGTCCGGGGAGAACATCATCACGTCCTCGACGTCCTGGGAGAACATCATCACGTCCTCGACGTCTGGGGAGAACATCATCACGTCCTCGACGTCCTGGGAGGACATCATCTCGTTCCCGACGTCCGGGGAGAACATCATTTCGTTTCCGACGTCCGGGGAGAACATCATTTCGTTTCCGACGTCCGGGGAGAACATCATCTTGTTCCTGACGTCCTGGGAGAACATCATCTCGTTCTCGACGTCCGGGGAGGACATCATCTCGTTCCCGACGTCCTGGGAGAACATCATCACGTCCTCGACGTCCTGGGAGAACATCATCTCGTTCCCGACGTCCGGGTTGAACATCATCACGTCCTCGACGTCCGGGGAGAACATCATCTCGTTCCCGACGTTCAGGGAGAACATCATCTCGTTCCCGACGTCCGGGGAGGACATCATCTTCTGCCCGATGTCCGAGTTGAACATCATCACGTCCTCGACGTCCTGGGAGAACATCATCTCGTTCCCGACGTCCGAGGAGAACATCATCTCGTTCCCGACGTCCGGGGAGAACATCATCACGTCCTCGACGTCCGGGGAGAACATCATCTCGTTCCCGACGTCCGGGAAGGACATTATCTTGTTCCCGACGTCCGGGTTGAACATCATCACGTCCTCGACGTCTGGGGAGAACATCATCATGTCCTCGACGTCCTAGGAGAACATCATCACGTCCTCGACGTCCGAGGAGAACATCATCGCGTCTTCGACGTCTGGGGAGGACATCATCACGTCCTCGACGTCCGAGGAGAATATCATCTCGTTCCCGACGTCCTGGGAAGATATTATCTCGTTCCCGACGTCCGGGGAGGACATCATCACGTCCTCGACGTCCGGGGAGAATATCATCTTGTTCCTGACGTGCTCGGAGAACATCATCTCGTTCCAGACGTCCGGGAAGGACATCATGTCGTTCCCGACTTCCGGGTTGAACATCATCACGTCCTCGACGTCCTGGGAGAACATTTTCTCGTTTTCGACGTCCGGGGAGGACATCATCTCGTTCTCGACGTCTTGGGAGAACATCATCACGTCCTCGACGTCCGGGGAGAACATCATCTCGTTCCCGACGTCCTGGTTGAACATCATCACGTCCTCGACGTCCGGGGAGAACATCATTTCGTTCCCGACGTGCGGGGAGAATATCATCACGTTTCTGACATAAGGGGAGAACATCCGGGGAGAATATCATCTCGTCCTCGACGTCTGGGGAGAACATCATCTCGTCCTCGACATCCGGGGAGAACATCATCTCGTCCCCGACGTCCGGGTAGGACATTATCTCGTCCTTGACGTCCGGGGAGAACATCATCTCGTCCCCGACATCCGGGTAGGACATTATCTCGTCCTTGACGTCCGGGGAGAACATCATCTCGTTCCCGACGTCCTGGAAGAACATTCTCTCGTCCCCGACGTCTGGAGAGAACATCATTTCGTTCCCGACGGCCAGGAAAGACATCTCGTGATGATAATAATAATAATACTATTATTATTATTATTATTTTTATTATTATTATTATTATCATTGTTGTTGTTGTTGTTGTTATTATTATTATTACTATTATTTTTATCATTATTAATACTATTATTATTATAATAATATTATATTTGGCTTTATTATCATTATCCTTTTTTTATCATTATTATTATGATTATTATTATCATAATTATTATTGATATTGTTGTCATTATTACTATGATTTTTATTATTATTATCATCATTATTATTACTGATATTATTAGCGTACTATTATTAATATAATTGTCATTATTATCATTATCATTATTATCACCATCACCCTCATCATTATCAGCATCATTATCATTAGTAGTAGGATTATCATCATTATCATTATTATGAGTATTGTTATCATTATCATTATTATTAATATCATTATTATTATTATTATTATTATTATAATTATTATTATTATTATTATTATTATTATTATAATAATTATTATTATTATTGTTATTATTATTACTATTACCAATATCACTATCATCATAATCATTATTATCATTATCATTGTTGCCATTATTATTATTATCATTATTATTATCATCATTATCATTATTATTATTGTTATTATTATTGTAGCGTACGGCTACACGCCCGCCGACTCCAAGGCCGAATTTTTCAGGGCTGACTGACATCTCCTCGGCCACCAGTGGCTGTTCAGGAACTAATTTGGACTTTTATTTTTAGGATTACTGTACGCATTTTGAACCAAGTCTCACTACTTGGATGGCGTTGAAGTCGCCAATAGAATGCGCAGTCTGAAATGCATAGTTTTCATTTACACTGTGTATTATCAGTTTTCCTCAGCATCCATTCCCTTATTTCTCTTTTTCTATCATTGTTTCTCTTCGGCGACGCTTCCAAAGTGTCATAACAACCCTAAAAGCAGTAATGGTCGCCACATCGTTTTTCTCTCTGTTCTTTTCGCGGTCGTTTGGGTCCTTTTTATTGTTTGGACTGCCGAACTATCGGGTTGGTCTTTTGATAGTTTCTCTACATATTTGTTTTTTTTAAAGTACATCTGGTGTTGGTTCTTACGTACATCACCCCGCTGGGATAAATTGGTGATGCTAGCATCTATGACAGTCTTCCATGACTGAATTATCAGTAGAACTTCCTAGTGGGTAATAAACATCATAAACATAGAGTGATAGATACATAAATAGAATGGTAGATAGAGTGAGAGAAAGAATGATAGATAGATATATAGTCCGAGAGAGAGTGTGTTTGCATGCGCACGCGTGTGTTTATGTGTTTGATTTTATGTCTGTGTGTGCATTGCATGTGCAGGAGTGTAATTATAAAAAACAGAGCATTAAAACTTTTATGCCTCATATATGTTTCACGTCCTCTCTCTCTCTCTCTCTCTCTCTCTCTCTCTCTCTCTCTCTCTCTCTCTCTCTCTCTCTCTCTCTCTCTCTCTCTCTCTCTCTCTCGGCGCGACCTAATCTTCTGTTCCTTATTTGCCGATGAAGATGAAAAATGTTCTATATTCTTTAAAGATTATTATATGTTTTTTTTCACTTTGGTTTATTCGATACTATATGGTATTTTACTAGCATACTGTTTCAAAAGCAAGGACGAGATTAACAAGAAAATTATAATATTAAAATTAGATAAAGATTAAATCATGATTTC